GGTTGTATTGGTTGAGTGGTTCAAATTTTGACCACATGGTATCATTACCCGTCAGGTATGGTTTAAAAAAGTAGCATTGTATTCTTCTGTACCAAGGTGCTAAGCATTTGACACACGTTTATAAAGTATCAATAAATTTAATTGACAGCTATAACAATTTGTCCCCATTTCTTTCATATGCTTAAATTAATATCCTACTATGGAAGCTGAAAGACTGACAATACCGCCATTGTAAAACAGGACGACGACTACTGAAATCATCGAGAAATTCCATATTGCAAAGGAACTAATACAAATGACTTAGAACTTACAATTAATATGCATTACATAGTCATCAAGTTGTACACGACACCCAGCGATAGTTGGACCCCCATTACACATCACACAAAGGCCCACTCCCTACCTTAATTAATATTAACTGGGTTGCAACGCCCCAACGTGTTAACTATTAAGGGTATGCATCAGACACTGATGAAAACAAACATATGACACACAGATGTATGGAATAAGTAACTGTTTGATGGATTTGTTGGTAATGAAAGTAAGGTATAATGTTGTTGAGTAAAATGTATGTAACAAAGATGGTAATTACTTCCCCAGGTAAGTTTTTCGAAGTAAAACGAAAACTTATTGGACAGTAGCAAATTAGACTTTATCTTTTGCACAGTAAGTAGTTACTGGAGAACGAACAGTGTTTTCAAATTCATTAGAACTGGTAAACGAACAAACAATTTTATTGATTTATGTTAGACTGTTTAGATGTGTGTTCAGTGTAGGGTTAGAGGAATTGTTCTTTTGTATTTTCATTCGTAATAACAATGAACAATTTTGACCGAACGAGACACGAACATGTCCTGAGTGCGATCGAGATGTTTATGACGTGCTTTGTTCTTGTTGGTCTGCTCAAACTTAATCAAAAAATCAGAAGGTTTATCACGGTAACGTTTCCATCGCGTTAATAAACTAGGCGCTTTGGTCAAGAGCATATCATTCCACACCGTTACCGTATCTACCTAGGATCACAAAACAAGTAAAGCAGTAGACACACGAGTCACCGCAAATTCATCAAGTTCGCGAGCCGATTCGTCGCCCATTAGAGCAGTGAATCACGCTAAAACTTTCAAGCCATTGTGCACTAAACCTTTGTGCGGATCGGCATCACGATTGATTTGACGTACAAAACGTGCACTTATTTGTACAATCGAACAATACACGTCGACAGGTTGTACAGATGCGCCTACACATGTTTTGGGAATACGATATCTAGTGTTTTGGGTATTACACTAAAACTAAGGGGAAATGAAAAAGAGATTTTGATTAGAATGATTGATTCCCTGTCAATGCGGTCTCCTGGTCTATAATTTTTTTTAATTGATTTCGAGGTTTTTATTTTATTTGCATGGGGTGATTTTTTTATTTCAATTTTAATAATAGAAAAAGGTCAAGAGCTTGCTCACAAGATACGATTTGACGAAACGCAAGAAAATAGTTTCTAACTTTATTGGTCACTATTCCACAATCATTACACCATATTAACAGAGCATTAGAAACCAACAAATAATTTGCCTTAATACATTGTAAACCAAATACAAACTTTTAATCCCCTCCCTCGATAATTCAAACAAACGACACAAAATGCAAGACGAAAACGTGCCACCATGAATAATGCATGCCCTGTATTTCAACGGGACAATACCAGTTTTACGTAAAGCCTTGTCGCCCTCGCTTCACATGAAAAAGGAAAAACTAATATCGGACGCGTTGTTTTCGGTCGTCAATAGATGGCGTTAGGTGTTCGGAGAATTTTGAGCATTTCATTTTCGTTACGATAAACATTTTGTATTTATTATAGTTTTGTATATTGTTATAAGTCCTTTAGAGTTCTGCAGAGAATTGGTGAAATAAATGTTTTTGTTTGTCTCTTGATAAATGTAAGTATTGAATTGTTTCTAATAGCTTTAAAAGTATATATATTTCAAACTTAACAAAAAAATCTCGAGCTACGCCTATTTTATTCATGCATTTAATATGACAGTGTTAAAATGAGTAAAATCGCTTGCACGACTTTGATATCTTAAACGGGTCATTACACGGTTCATCGCACATTGAGCATACGGACTAGCTTACAAACAAAAAAAAAATAATCATTGGATCCCAACAACCTAACGATTAATGTTTAAAAATCTATAAAAATCAAAAATAAAATTGTGGAGCGAACAAAAACATCTTCAATATTAACAAATAGGTGTCTAAAACCGAGTACACACCGCATCGCACGGGCCGAGTTGAAAAAAGCCGAGGGGGAAAAAAATAGAAAATGTCGTTTCCTCTCGCCGTCACCGCCAGAATGGCCGTGGCCGGTTTTGCTCGTATTTCCATACTCTTCCGCTCGTGTCCTCCCATCCCTATTTCTGGCCGTTTTTAAATTTCGAATACGAAACTGTGCTTACATTTGAGCTGTTGATTATTTTCGAGAATACCCCGCTGTGTAAGCTTCTGTTGGCTGATTGCGGCGATTTTTTTCTTTCGTTCTTAAGTTTTGTTTTATTTTTAATCCGAGCTTCGGAGTTTTGGATACGCTCCTGTAAAAGGGCGATGGACTGTTCACAAGTGGACGTTGAGCTTAATGTTGTTTTTATAACCGAACTTCACCATAACGAGTAGAAAAAGATTTTTAGCAAACGTAAAACGCCTTTAAAGTGTTTAGTTGTCCTATAAAATCAATTTGCGATGTTGAAACAATGGCGTCTAACGCTTGTCATCTTAACGTCTCCAAGTACGAAACGACAACAATCGCGGCAGTACTGTCAAACATTCCTCCTACGAAACCACTTCTCACTTCATAAATTAATATTAAAGCCGATTCAATAAATCATGATCCTGACGAGAATCCAGAATGATCAATTTGCAATCAGAATGAGCTCTTTACAAACTATAGAGTGGGATCCATCGCTTACCATAATAGTAATTTACTTGTGCCAAATTCAATGGATTGTGCTAAACAATGGTGTCTTGGAACAGTGACGTAATCGTATATTACTATAGTTATAGGACAAAGGTGTTTTGTTACTTACAACGTTAATTTAGAAACGGTAAATTGTATTTAATGTAACACTGTTACAGTTCTGTTTCAATTGATTCGACTTGGCTTTGATTAAATTATTCTTTGAGGATGCTGATTGAATGAATTCTATTAGCAAACAAAATAATAATATAAGTGGTTGGTTAAAACGAAATAAAGTGATATGGAAGACTTTCTTGTCATGTCATGCGGACAGTTTTACTCCTAGAAAAAAGTTAATTTGAAATTGAAAACATCTTAATTACAAGTTATTTTTACAAGAAATACCTACACATAATGTTTTTTTTTCTAACAATCAACATTATTGTAAGGTATTATAAAGCTTAATCTCACCTAAATAAGGAATATTATTTGTTAGCCATCTCTTGAAGTAACTGTTAAATGTATATGTGTATCTATTACGATGTGCCCACAAATAGGATCAGTACATAGCTAACTATTTACTATTAATATCTATGGACATTATTTGTAGTTTTGATTGAATTACTGGTGTTTCATATTATATGCTGTAAGGCGCTGTAAGGCGTTCAAGAAAGTAGAAAACTTTAAGGATCTCTTTTTGTTGTATAACATGAGATATACATATATACGGATCATATGGTAGTAAGCTATCGGCGCCTCAAAGAGCCAATAGACCACCACAGACGGGGCCCTATAGGGCTGATGTTCAGCCGGGGTTACGGGGTAAGCGCAATGAGTCACCGCAGCCTCGGCCCAGATTAGGAGAACGAACGGGGTGCTTTTAGTCAGTAATAGTTAGATACTCTCTCTCGCCTAACCCAGGGCGGGAGAAGTCATTTGATTTCCCCTGACAAAAAAAGCTATCGGCGCCTCTTATGTAAGCTTGCACACCAGAGGAGATTAGGATTCTTTTTGAAGATTTGGGTTTTGGGGAGACGACGAATCCTCAGGAACCTCACTCATACGGCAAAACACAATGTAAGCGTTTTCAGTAAGGCCGTCATATAACTTCGGTCGAGCAGACTTATTCAACCAAAATCATTGTTCTCCTACACTTTTTTCAAGAGACGGTATTATAACCTGGGTATGATAAAATGTTTATCTGATTAGAGTTTGTTATGACAAACTTCAAATACTTTAAATCTATGTACAAAAAACTACAATAACTTCAAATCTACAAAAAAATTGATCGCACAGTAGATGGCGTTTCCAGTGCCTAGTATGAGTTCGTTTTACTTGAAGTCGATCGACACATCATCAATGACGTTCGGCGCTCTGATTGGCCTGTTCCAAGTTATTTAACCAATCAAAGGGTTCAATGCGGTAACGTTGCTATCGCGTAATAAAAGTCATATTACTTAGGCACTCTGTAGTCTGCTATTGTAGGAAAGCAGAGTCCACCTACGTATTCGTCTGTGTGTGAATTCTTCGGTGCATAGAGTTTTATTAGCATGGTAGGTGATGGACTTATAATAACACCTTTTTCATAATGCGTAGGTATTCAATGCACATTCGCCCTTCAGAACAAAAATAGGTTTGTTAGAAAATGTTATTTGGATTCTATCATTATATTGAATCTGCTTTTTGCATAGTAATAACTTAATTGATGTTTTATGCGCGTACTGGTTCATGTCACTGATTATGTATTGGTAGGCTTTTTACCAAACTTAAAACTAAATGACTCACATCAGTCGGATATGACTCAATTCTTTCTTTCTCTCTTAGCTAAAATTAAAATTAGTCATCCAGTGTCCTGAATACACTTTCAATCGTCATCATCATCATCATCTATGGTCCGCGTCAGTAGACTCTTGGAGTATGGAACGAGTGTTTGACTCTTTCTGACTAATACCAATCCGCTCTTTCTCCTATTCCGAGCTGGGGCCGCGGTATATCGTTACGTTTGCCCCCACAACCCCGCCTGAACTGTAAGTAATATGCATTTTTTTCAACTTACCTAATCTTTTAGAGATCTCCGAGTTGTGCATCTTCGGATTATCTTGTGCGATCTTCCGCCTTTGTAGCCTCGACCACACCATAAAGGCGTTCATGGGCCTTTTAATATGTTCCTCCTGAACTTTCTTCTGCTGAGGTCCGTTCATCGCAGATATCGAGCTCATAGTCCCTATGGCACCCATGGCGGACATGGGGCCCATGGGGAAATGTCCCATAGATGACCCGAAACCAGTTCGGTCGCACATCGCACCAGCGGCACTGGAAAAAAATGGTACCCATTAATTTGAAAGGTCGTTGAGTCGAGAATATGAATTTTGATGCAGGGTCTAAGAATTGGTTCCTAAATCAGATACAATAAAAGATATTGCTAGAATTGCATAACCAAATCTGGATTAGTCCTTAGTGCTACGATCTACATAGTAATTATGGAATAAAATAAGTCAATGTCTGCGTATTTAAAAGCAAGTATATCATTTTATTCATCAAATAGGTACTTATAATTAAGAAGGTATTAAGAAATATCTAATTAAAATTTAACAGCAGCAAACAACGATAAGTTACATTTAACTACCATATTTCTACATGCACCATCACGCCAGTTATAAAGAAATAAAAAATATTACAAAATCATGCTTCTAAAAAAATTAATAACCGTATCCATGTACCAGAAGTTTTATCCCCAACGCCACGTGCAGTTTGTAACTTTTAATATGGCTGACAATTATCGTGCCCAAAAATGTGGAAAATATTAATACTGAGGGTGTTATAATGGCTTATGACGCGGGGATGGTTTTAAAGAGGCCTTCTGATTGGCCCTCCCCTCGACACGGGGTTCCTCAAGTAAGACGTTAAGAAGTAAAATGCGCAATTGAAGTAATGAAAAGCTTATGTTGTTATTTTGAGTGGTTGAAGATTTAAGTTGAAGAAAGTTTTAGGATCATCGTTTTGAATGTTTTTAGGTGTGAATCAAACAGTTGCCCATGTAATGTTGTACACACGACAACGAAGGAGTTTTGAGTGCGTTGACAACTATTAGGAGGGAATTAGGGTTTTGGAGATTTATGTATAGGGGGACGGGAAGGATTTGGGCTGTAGCTAACCACAATCACACAGCATAACACAACGCTGGGGTAGTTTCAGTTTTCTTTGAGGCCGTGATATTCGTGCCGAAGCATGGCTGTCCCACACTTTATTAGGTATTCAATTTATTCATTTCATTTTAGGTTTTATATACGAAGAAATATTCTTTATTTTACCCAAAATTGGTAAAAGTAACCCATTCGCCCGTACATTAAAAATGTTAATCCCCATCATACAAACAACGGTGGCCCTAACTAATCCCATCTTAATCCAGGATTACAAACCGAATATCCATTTAAAAAAAAAAAACTATCATTCATCTTTTAAAAAATTTCACCGTCTATGGCGTTCTTGGAAGGTTGATATTTGGGTCAAAAAGGGTGTATTTGTCCACGGAATGTGTCAATATTTGTCACCGCTACCATAGACCTACTGGCCGGTATTTCGCTCTGTTATTCTTAACTCCGGACTCTATTAGCATTAGGCGGCTTTATGACGTTTTTACAGCAATTTAACGTAACTACTCCATTGTTTTTTTAAGATAATAATGGTGGTTAGGATTTGTATGTGTGATTCTAATAAGATCTGATTTTAAATTCTTATTAGATGGATTTGTATCATATTTATATTAGAAAAATAAAAACAATAAAAATTATGGCAAGTAACCTTGGAATTTGCCATAAAATAATTACAATAAAAATATTACCTTTACTTCTAAAAATATGTAAGCACCAACGTTGTTTAGGTGTTTTAATTACATACTTTTAGGTACTAACTACCTACTGCTGATAACTAACTCTTTTCCTGATTAATAAAAAAAATATAATAGGAATCGAACCTTCATCCAATAAGAAATGTCAATGTTCGATATTTGAGTATTAAAAGAAAAAAGTTTGTACAAGCCAGTCATTAGTAAAAACATTCAATCAGTATTTAAAAATTAAAAGCAAAATGAGGTTTTATTAAAGGTGTGATTATGATACCTTGATTGTTATTGTTAATAAAATTATCACGTTATGTTTCTTATTAGTTATTTGGTATATTTTAAATGAGATAATGGCGAACTACCTTTACTGTTGGTGATATTCCAACAGTAAAGTTAGCATTACCTTTGCCATTGCCAAGATTACACAATTATTATGCAAATGTGTCTTAGGCACAATTTTATTGCTGCAGATAGATATATACAATAGAGAATAGACGTCAATGAAGACAAGAAAATGTCTACCTGTAAGTTAAAATGTAGCTTTTATATTTTTATAGAACCTAAGTACTTGTAGTAACGAAACATGTTCAAAAAATGACATTCCTTGCAACTATTTCGTTACATGACTAAAGTCGTCTTTTTTCAACAAACCAAAGACCAAACTAAGCCACAGTAGTGTACAAACAAGCTACTGGAAACTACTTACGACTCATAAGACATCGCCGCTGCAAACAACAAGGGAATTTGTCTTGACAATTAACGTCCAGACGTTGAACCTTTGAGATTTTGCTTGGTAGTTCGAAAAATGCGCTTACATGTTGAATGTTACATTCTTTGAGAGATGGTTCCGTTGGTTTCCAATGTTTTGTACTGAAGGTTCGAGAATTTATTTTGTCTTTGTTAGATGGATTTTGTTTAAACACTAAAAGAAAGTTATTTTTTTTAAACCGGAGATTAGTTTGCTAAGCATGGGACAACACTTACACTATATGAAAATATAATTATAATCCCACTGTCCTACTAATATTATAAAGATTGTGAAAATTACTGGATGTATGTTTGTTATGCTTCTACGCAAAAACGGCTGAATCGATTTGGTTAAAATTTGGTATGAAGGTAGGTGATATTTTGGATTAACACGTAGGCTGTTTTTTAATAACATACGATAGGTACACAGTCGAGGGCGGAAGCAAGTTTTTAACAGTTTGTACCTATAAATAAATCTACTGACAAATCAACGAATAACGATCAAGTTAAAACCTTCTTATAAGCAACCCTAAAAGAAACCAAAGTCCTTTGTCTCGAAAAAAAAATCTGTCAGTAGGTACCTAAGTGAAATCGGCGCTCGTTGAGAGGCACTAAACAGATGCGCAACCGCACGCATGATCTACTGTTTGTTGCCGGCGAGAACACAAGCGTGTGTTAAAATTTAACCGACTGCGAAGGTTTGAGTAATGAGGTGGTAATAAGAATTATAGATGGAGTTATTGATTTTTGAATTTGTCTTCGTGTCACTCGTAATAAGTCATTCAAGGTGCTAATTAAAGGTAAAATGGTTGATGTTTCCGATGAAGAAACGAGAGAATTGAGAGAGATAATAATATATGAAACAGATGGCCTAGAAAACCAATAGCCGTAGGGCGATTCCATTGATAACACCAATGATGAGTGTATTTCGTTAAGTGCCATTTCAGTAGCAATTGTCAATCTTATGCATATCGGAATAGATATCATGAAACCAGTGTTGACTGACAAAATACCTAAATAGTATTCGGTATGGATGTAAACAGTGGTAGTGGGGACCTAAGTAGGAATATTATTAGTAATTGCTAAACAGAATTTGTTTCTTTTAAATCTTTTATACGCTTTAACGCCTAAATGGCGAAACCAGTTGTGGCAAATAAAGCAAGCAAGCTCAAACCAAAGCAAAGAACAGAAACTTAACCCTACATAGTAAAAAAAATTTTTTTTCTATACTAATATTATAAGGAGGTAAAATTTGTAAGTTTGTATGTAGGGGGTAATCTTTGGCACCGCTGGTCGGATTGTCAATATTCTTTTAATAATCAATATTCACTGATAGATAGCTACAACATTCCTGAGTGCTATATGTAGGCTATAAAACATCACGCTACGATCAAATGGAGCCGAGCAGCGGGTGAAACCGCGCGAGAGTAGCAAGTAATACCTAGATTAAGTGATTGAAAAGTAATAGTTGGAGAAATTTAGTAAAACAGCATTGCATCCGTGCGATGCCGGAACGGTTCGCTAGTTAGACTAACTACGGGTTGACGATGATCTTAGGCGTTATGTAATTGTAATTGAAAAAACATAACAATAAAACAAAAGAATCCAAACCGGACAATGTCGCTTAAAACAGTATTTTTTTCTTACAACTGACACACCAACATAATATTAATCTGAACAAGTCATAAGAGAATAAAAATCGTCGGCTGACTACAAAGACTAATCACGATTGTAAACCTGTAAATACAGGGTCTTTACGACCCCTATATAAAGGAGAGGCGATTGTGCCCTCATTAGGCATCAGTTGGAGCACTAATTGGTTCTGTACCATTGCCGATATGTGGGGATCCGTAAACAAAATTGACTTTTTTCTTATTTATTTTATTTATCATGTCACAAGCTTGTCACTGTGCGTAGATACTGTAATACGGCCTTGGACAATTGTTTTTTTAAAATAAAATTTAAATTTTTAATGTATAATTACTAACTTTTGCCTGCAACTTTGTTCGCGTTGAATAATGACTTTCTGCAGAGTTTTTGTTTTAAAAACTATTCTATGTTTTTAGGTTCAGTAGTTTAGGCGTCAAGAAAAGACAGATAGACAGAGTTACTTTCGCATCTATAATATTAGTTTTGAAGTTTGGATTAGTTAAGATAGATTTTATAAACACGTGAAATAGTTTTTTTTTGGCAACCGTTTGTAAGTCCAATTCTGTTTGTAAGCTTGGGAATGGACTGGTGCGAGTGTCGCTTGGTCGCGTTAAATAGGCTATCGATTTGCTTAGGTTCTAACGTAGCCGGGGGGTAGGTAGGTATAACAGTACGCATCCAGCGAGCGTTGTAAGATACGATTTAGAAATTAATAGAATCCAACATCAGTACTCTCAGATAAAACTTTTACGATTTGTGATCTCCGAACCGCCTTTGTCCGCGTAGATACTTACAACAGATTTTCAGAAAATACTTTATTCCTACTCCTTATTCTTAATTTAAATTTAAATTATTGGGGTGAATGTACAATAACTAATATTGTAGTGTGTGTCATACCTTTCCCCATAAGTAGCGTAAGATGTTATAATATCAGTCGGGGTTGCGGGGCAAACGCAGTAAGGCACCGCGGCCTCGGCTTAGAGCAGAAGAAGGGACGACGGGTTCTTAGTCACTATGAGAGTGGTAATCTGATGGTGAGTGATGGTGGTGGCAGAGAGCATGACACTCTCTGCCACCGTGGCAGAGAGTGTCATACTCTTACTGGGGTGGCAATGCCGCCCCATTCTAGGCGGGAGGAGTCATTAGATGATTTTCTCGTCAGAAAAAAATATGTTATAGGTAATATAAAACACTTGATTAAAGACAATCAGTAGAGTAACACATGTCTGTTTTGCTCTGCCATTTCATTATTTATCTCTACCAATTTTGATTTAGCGTGTCTGATGACGTCAATGTACTTCCAATACATTTTGTCAGATTCGTAAGATGCTACTGAGCGGTGCTATAAATTTAACATTGTGATAGAACAGGTACCAGCGTTCTCTGATAAAATTATTTATAAGTGCGGAGTCCAACCCTACCCTAGCGTAGAAAAGCAAATAGTCTAACATTAGACAGTAGACTGACAGGCTGTTGTTAAACTTGCGCACGCGTCGCCACATGAAACATTGCATACACAATCGTGTGTTTTTATTTATATTATACTAGCTACTCTCGCGCGGTTTCACTCGCTGTTCGGCTCCATTTAATCTTTTATAGCCTATAGCACTCAGGAACATTGTAGCTATCTATCAGTGAAAGAATTATGGAAATCCGACGAGCGGTTCCAAAGATTACCCCCCACATACAAACTTACAAACTTTACCTCTTTATAAGTAATATTAGTATAGATGTATACATATCTTATAGCACTCATGTAGCTGATCGTGGGTGACCTCTTGGGCAAAAGTGAGGCAGTCATATAGTTTTTTATTGAACATTACTTAACTAAACTGTTTACATTCTTGTCTATGCCTCTGCATAAAATGCTCTCAGAACCCGCTAAACAAATTAATTTCGCGCTTGCCAGTTTTTTTACGCGGTCATTGTCTTTTCGTGTCGACAATTATTCACAAAAACCTTCACTTTATTATTTAATCCGTCTTTTTTTCGTGTTTAATGATCATTAATTTTTGTTTTTAGCTGCTTTGATGATTTTTAAGATAATGTTAGTTTGAAACGCCGACTTTTTAAGCTTATATCGTATAGGCATCTGTTTGTAACGGTAAAGGAAAATATCGTGAGGAAACCTCGACTTATAATTTGTAATCATAAGTCTGAAATGGCCAATCAGCCATGAGCAAGCGCGGCGATTAATGCTCAAACCTTCTCCGTTGTGAGAAAAGGACTTTGTTCAGCAGTGGTCTCTTATAAGCTGATGATGAAGGCATCTGTTTATGATGAACGGATTTCTCTTACGGGACAATTAAGGTATTGAATCTTCACTTGTTTAACTAACTTTATTGATAATCCCAAGGCAGATATTAATAATTACCTCATCGCCGTGTGAGTGAGGTTACCGGAGGCCCAATTCTTCCCCTCCCCAATCTCTAAATCTCCCAAATCCCTAATCCCCAAAAGGTCGGCAACACACTCGTAACTCCTCTGTTGTTGCGGGTGTCCATGGGCGGCGCTGATTGCTTACCATCAGGTAATACATCTGCTCGTTTGCCGACCTATCACATAAAAAAAGTAATGGATAAGTTGGGAAAGCTCTAATCAAGGTATATAAACGTAGGCACCTATAGGTAATCGCTTTTCGTTTTGTTTTTTTTTTTTTGAGGGTGGGGAATAATCCAATGTCTATTCCCGCCTTAGGTGGGGCGAGAGGTAGGTAGTGTCAGGCTTTTACTTTATATACATCATCCCTTTTCTTCCCTGTTCCGAGCCGGGGGTCGCGACGCGATCAGCAATTTCGGCCAGGCCGGGTACAGGTCACAGGTAACGTATGATGAGCTACATGCTCTACTAGTGAATATTATACACAATTAGGTATGTATGTAGAATTTGGTACCTAGGTATCTCCAATATCGATAGGTATGCTACAATGCCACGGGCTCAGGATGGCTTCCTGCGACTAAGTATCCTCTAGAATTCAATTTAATCTTTGCACGGCCAAACTGACATTGATTGACTGACTGACTGACTGACTGACTGACTGACGGATTTTAGGGATATTTTTTTTTTTTGTAGGGAAATCTAAGTTATGGCCGCGGTAGATTATTCCGCTTGCACCTACAACCCCGGCTGCGGCCAGAAAAGTGCTTGAGTGGAAGTTGAGGACTATAAGGAGGCCTCTACATACTCTATATGTATTGATCTAAAACAACCAAAACAATGTAACAATAAAAAAAAACTTGACAGTAGGTACTAAGGAACTTATAGTTTGATTAAACTAACTTGATTATCATTAGTATGTTAACATATCTATATCCTTACCTACCTAGTACATGGAATGTAGGTACTTACCTAGGTACATTAACGAAAAAATGAATACTAGAATACTATCATACCTACGCATTGATTTCCATATTCAATTTTTTTAAATCTTTTTAGCATCTCCAATTAGAATTTATTCGAGCAATAAAGAAAGGGAACCGCTTCTGTTTTTTAAAAAAAACCAGCCAGCAACTTACAACGACGCGGCGGCGGCCGTTGTGTCGATGACATTATTAGGTATAAACCTTACTGCCTTATAGGAATCAGTTATTCACTGTATACCTTCTTCGTTATGTAAACTTAATTATAATTCTAATACCTAATTTAATAGCACCTAAAAGAGATCAAGTTATGTCTTTCCTACATAAACAAGAAGCCTTATATTCCCTAGTAACTAACTTAACTCCCTACCTACCCATATCCATTTATCCCGCCAAAGTAGGGGTGTGACCGGAACACACCCAGCCTCAGGGTCAAGGGGTCATCTTAAGGGTTACAACTACCATTTAATGACCGATAGAGCCAGGGGAAAGGTCAAAGAAGTTTGAGTTCGATATGGATTCCTAATTATAGGTTTTAATGGGTACCTACGCAACATTCAATACGGTACTAAATTATATGGTTTTGGCGATAGATAGAGTGGCGCTAATAGATAGATTTAATTCTTATACCTATCAAATGACGGCTTTTGACTCCTCAATGAGGCAATTTGAATGCAACTACCAGTATTAACTAGTGAGGTAGCTAAATACCTATATTCCAAAGTATCAATTTACCAATTTTATTGTCATAGGTATTCGAACTTTTTAGATTAAAACTTTAATTGTTATTAATAATTAGATATTTGAATAAAAAAAATAGTTTTAGGTTTAAAATAAAAACAATTATATTTGTGAAATTATTAATTATAGGCGAATAGGGACGACAAATAACAGAAGAAAGAAAATTATGACGAAAGAAACAGGGACACGCCTTGATTAAAAACTCGTTGGTTGCGGGACCCGCACACTTGTTCACTTGCTATTTATTATATATTTATAAGGTATAGTACATACATACTTACTCAACTGAGCATATTTTTTTTACACGATAGCTTGTGCTCTATAAGGCAGGTACATGAATATATATAGGTACCTAGGCATGGTTATACAGGTGTTGCTCAAATATTGAAGTATGGAATAAAAGCTATTAATGACAATGCACATGTGGTGCGTTGTGATTAATTATAGATACATATAAATATAAAACAATACAGTATTAAATCAACATTAAATACATGCTAGGCAATTTACCTATAGGTAGGTTTACGCTTAAAAAACAGTTAAGGTGTTAAATCTGCACCATGGCATTATTTACAAAAAAAAAGGTAAGGAGGAATACTACATATCGTACATCCAAATAAAAAAGCGGGAAAGGAAACTAGGTACAATCGCATCATGGAACAAACAGCAAAGAGAATCGATTTGTCACAAGTTCATCGACCATCGGCGGTGTTTCGACCTCAACAGACGTCGACAGCGTTCATTAAAACGGCCAACTGACGTTTTTCAACAAGACAATAACTGTGTTTACCTCATAAAGTGCCCACTGGCACGTTGATGTAACTCCAGATCCACGATGAAGCCTTTCAATCACGTTTCAAAAAAGTCCCGCCGGCACTACACACACAAATCTCAATACGAAAAACAAACAAATTATCAGTAATTATAAACAACTGTTATCATTGTATACGTAACTGTTATTACACGATCGATTGACTCGGATTGCGTTATCGTATCGCGTGTTGCAAATCAAACGAGCGCGAGCTCCGCGCGTCCGTCGCTCGCTCGACACAATGGCGACAATCGACAATCGCGCGCCGCGACTGCGGTGACGCCGCTACCGACAAATCGAGTGATAAACCCGAGCGTGCGGGCCAATCCGCGCGCTCCACTACGCCCACGAGTGCGCGCCGCGCCTCCCCATTGGCCAAGCAACTGCCATTGCCTTACGGATGTTATTATGCAGAACGAGACCAACAGTTCGAAATAAGAATTTTAAACGTTTACTAGCCGGGCGTACAATGCAAATTGGTTGCGCGCGCTCTGCGCCGCGGTCTCACTCTGATGCGTCGTCTTTTTGTTTATGATGACTTGGTGTATGAAACAAGAATAAATTCGTATGACAGCCTGCAGTCGTCTCACCTCAACCACTCAATGGCCACTTAGCGTTATTCCGTATGCTGCTTATTGAGAAAACAAAACGGGCTTCTGTTTATTTATTGAGAAATATTCCTATGAATAGTATCTATGGGCAGTCGTAATATGTGCCCGGCAAGTTTTGAAAGGAAAACAGTTGTAAATACCTATGTGTTAGGTAGGTATTTGCATATTTATTTAGAATTGTTTTGTTATAACTTCATTACAAATATCATTATTGAGAAAATATAGAAAAAAAACATTTTTAAAATTCTTACGTAGGTACCCATTCATTAAATAACTTGGCAAGTACCTACCTACTTGTGACTTGAGGGGTCAAACATAAGACCCCATGATACCAACTAAGATATAATTGATCAACTTAAAGCAAAATTTGTAACTATAACTCAAACGGCATAACACGTATGGTATAATGTCTAACAAGATTTATTTCTTAGTAGAAAATCATAAATTTCCCTAGTCTCAGACATACCTACTTGATAAATAATGATATCTCAATTCATTATAACAGTCACAAAATTAATAATATAAGTTAATAAATTTCATATATCAATTTGGATGGAGTAAGTAGTAATAACATATTAAAATTAAGCTGCGATTCATAGAAAACGAGCGTCAGAATATGGAAAACTTACCTTTACATTGCAGTACTTAATATACTGATGTCTTTAATGTTTACAAATACTTTTATATAATGCGTATCTATGTATTGGAAATAGTATAATTAGTATAAAACACTACTTACCATCCCATCACTTAGATAACATTTACTTTTAAACAATTAATTCATTTAAAACCAACGAAAAACAAACCATAGTCTTATTGGAATGATAAATGTGAAGTCAATAAAAATATGTAGGTACCTATATGGAACGCTTTCATGTACACTACCTATATGAAAGATACATGAAGACTCTTCAGACATATATATTTATTGTGCTTTCAATAAATTTTGGTTTATTAGTTTTATTAAGCAATAATATTGATTTTTTCAAGCAGTTAAAGCGTTGAACAGAAAACTTAGAATACCTAGATAAATTGGCCAGCATCGTTCTTGTGTCAACCTAGAAAACTACGCCCAACGATGTTGATACTTGTAATTTTAGCTGTCTTCAAACAATGAGGTATCTACTGTTATATCGGTGGACATGATATTTATTTAGATCAGATGATTGTTGTTTTTTGTGAATGTGGTCCTTATCCATAGTTTGAGGTTCAGTCTTTTAGGTGTTTCACTGTCTAATAGATATTAGCCAACTTACAAGAAAGTGGTGTATCATAGTATCATAAGAATATAGATAAACAAACATGCCCTTGAGACGAATATTAGGTACTTTGGATACGGGAATAAATAAAGAACACTTTTTATTTATTTATTTATTCATTTATTATAAGGTAGGCTCACAGCTTATGTATACAAAGTGGTTTAAAGTAATGGTTATAGGCAGTAGGTCATATATATACATTAGCCAGTTACGAGCTAACCAACATTCTAAAAATTATGTTAAAATTATTTTTGATCGAAGTTTTATTTTAATACAAAACTAATAAATGAGTAGAATCGAAAACGCGTTCGTCTAAAATAATCAAAATCTAGACATTCCCGCACCTATCGAATTATGAACTTTTATAAGTAATCTAATGGTAGTGATATTAAGTGCTTCTATTATCTCTCAGATTTATTATCTTACACATAATAATTATTTTTTTACACATAAGAAACCAATTTTTCATACGTGTAGGTACAAAAATGTAAGTAGCTACATAATTAATACCATGTTCATTATGCTCAAGTATCATCTAACATCAAACACAAGAATTTAATTTTCAAACTAAAAACATAAGCTCAATATTATGTTTTTAAAAAAGAGAAAGAACGAAAAATAGTCACCTTATTCACAATTCCTACGCACCGAAGACATACAGACTTTGTTTGGGTGCATAAATATCTGTCATATCAGCAGTTCTTTGATAAACATTGCTACCTACGTATATCGGACAAAATTTATTCCACTTGAGATTTGGTCAAACCCCTCACAGAGTCGCGGCAATTCTAGCTCTGCCACTACTTTAAATATTTTTTTTATTTAAAATTGTTAGAAAAGCAAAGAAATTAAAAAAATATATTTATTTCATTGAAAAACCCTTAAGATATTTCCACTGTTGATACAGAACGTACCTACTAGGAGATAGTGAATCTATCTTGCTAACTGTCACCGCGTCAGTCTCTTTTTTGCCAACTGTAGGTACATAAATCTATCTATGTACTATGGTTAGACGACTCAAGAGCGATATTTAAGAAAAATTAAATTGCTATGTTGTTTTTGTTTTAATTCGTTTACAACTACGACTTGTATAACCTATAAACGTTAAAATGTTAAGCATCGCCACACAAAGCTTGAATGAATGAATGAATGAATGAATGAATGAAACTTTATTTGCTAGAATATAGGTTATACATGGTGATCGACAATTTTAGAGTTTCACTATATTCGACATACATCAAGTCGTGCAAATATTTGTGACAACTGGGTCAAAACAATATTAATATTTAAACATGCATTACATACACAATTATTAAAAAAGAGATAAATTGTTAGCGTTGTCATATTAAATAGCGAATTAATTTCATATATTGATACATAATTACATCAATTTAAAATTCGAAAGTATTATTAATATTATGAAAGTCAATTTATTTTTATTATTAGGACTTATGAAATGTCAGAACGATTTCAAATTTATAAAATCAATTACCTACCTTACGAATGCTATATCATATTTTTCACACGATTCCGTACAATATCTTCTTCAAATACAATAACATATCGATTACTAAACTAGGAGACCGTTGGAATAATTTAAGGTCAAGAATCGATACATAATAATGCAATTTTAACATCAATAGAAATCATAACGGAAGCTAGATTAAAGAATAACATCCTGACGTACCAAAGAAAGCACCATAACGGCTAAGGATCTATGCAATTTCTATAAAGATTAGCATATGTCTATCATATATGATCCAATAAAAATACAATACAAAGTTAAATGCAAATTTCGTAAGTGATACAAGATCGATAAAATGAATCAGAAATATCATAAGTAGGTTTGCTTCAAATTCAAATGAGGTTTGTCATGAAATTGAAGCGTTCGATAATTGAATTGTAACTTTGTGTGAAATGTTGGCGACACGAGGGCAGCGGGTCGCGCCCTAAGGGCGACGGAGTGACGTGTACGCACAATGCGGTCGACAATGCAACATACGCAAATTAACTACACACACATTTTATTGGCAATAAAAATCTATTGAGCGATTCGTGTTGCAGTGTACATGTGCCGTTGATAAAAGAATTTAAAATGTCGATAAATGATTTTTACATATGACTAGGGTAGCAAAATATGCAGATTTGGGAACATGTGTAAATGCAGGTAGCTTTGTTATTTTTATTGGCTGGCTACTGTCATTTAAATGATTTCATTCAATTCAGAACGGAACTCAACAGACCGTTACAAATTCGTTTATTGATAAAGTGTTATAAATAATTTAGCAAATGATCCATTAACTGTCTTGAATGCTAATAATGTAACAAATCTTATAATAATCCTATAGTGGATTTTTTTTTACTATAGTATGACATGAACAGTTTTTTGCAAAGAGGCATTACTTATTTTATGTATGGATTCTTGACTAGTATATAATACTGTGTTAAAAGTACCTATATGCTTCATTGGCATTCATTTAAGTACCGGTATTTAGTTAAACGTTATTTTCAAAGGTTTGTTCTATCAAGCATGTAGATTGTAGGTATATCAAAGACGATAGGCTTATTTCGGTTTATGATGTTTTTTCGTCAAATAATTGATATTCCCTAGTAGTACAAGTAATTTTAAATAAAAATGTGTATTTAAATACGTTGTAGGTATTATGTACCTATGTAGAAATTTGATTTAAATCGAACTGTAACAATAACATGATTAGCTCTCTGTGTAACTATACAACCTTGGCAACAATCTTTTATTGGATTATCTTGCTCTGTATCCTCTGTTTTCTTTATACCTATTCTATAAAAGTATCCGATATCAATACAAGAAATTCTTAATACTCGTCTTATGTCAGCCATAAAGCTATCAGATTTTCCATGAAATCGCGTAACAACAAATAATTTCGATGCAGTCCCGATTCACCACACCGATCACAATAAAGTATCATTAGCATATCGCACACTGCCTATGCACATGGCACAATGTCATATGTTAATACATTTCGCTCACAAAGGGATACAATTTCGCGTATTTGTTACACATTGTGCTACAAATAAATCCGTTATATCGATATTTTCATGCTAATTTTGATTTTTTAACAAATTTGAATTGTCGAACGCTAATCGATGGTTCCTTTGTGCATAAACAGGCGTGAACGCATCGCTCTATTTTCGAAAATTTGAATTTAAGAACGTTTATTTCGAATTCGGATTTTTGATTGATTGGACCTTTCTTATGCTAAAGTTTAAAGATGGAACGTCAAAGTGATTGATCCGTTATTGTACTGATTAATTGATATTTAAATATGTGCGTGATACGGTTCGATTGGATTATCTCGCTTGAAGTCAATATAGTCTACTGAAGGAGCTTTTTAAAATTGCATAGGAAAAAATAAAATAGAATATTCTTCTGTTACTAAAAATTTTTTAGAGAAAGGGTAATTGGTTTGCTCAAAAGATTACATTAAGTATAATAGAAATCGATCTCCCTCTTTTTTTGTTATCGATGTTAATTTGTAACGTTCAGTATGACCTCAGTGTCCACCTG